ATTTCTCATTCTTTTTTTTATTAGGCGCAAAATGTGTTATTTTGATGTCTCATCTAAACCGTCCAAATGGAAAGCCAAATCCAAAGCATTCACTTAAACCTGTTGCCGATGAGCTTGGTAAATTATTGGGAAGAGATGTCTTGTTCTTGAATGATTGTGTCGGTCCCGAAGTCACAAAATCTTGTCTTAAGGCCAGTAACGGTAACTTGCATATTTATTTGCATATAAATTCAAAAATTTGAGAGTTTCGGATTCATTATCTGTTATTATATTTGATTTCTTTTATAGGGCAAGTGATTTTGCTTGAAAATCTTCGATTTCATATAGAAGAAGAAGGGTCTATTAAAGATGATGATGGAAAGAAAGTACGTTCATTAATTTCAACCAAATTTAAACTATTCATTTATATCATTTTATATTTATTAATCTGCAATTTTTTATCTAATTTCAAACAGATCAAAGCATCTTCTGAAGATTTAAACAACTTTCGATCGTCTTTAACAGAACTTGGAGACATATATGTTAATGATGCATTTGGTACTGCACATCGCGCTCACAGCTCAATGGTTGGTGTAAATTTACCAATTAGAGCTTCAGGACTTTTGTTAAAGAAAGAATTAGAATACTTTGGAAAAGCTTTAGAAGATCCGGATCGACCATTTTTGGCAATTCTTGGCGGGTGTGCTGAATATTATTATTGTTGCTTTTTTGATAATTTATTAATAGCTCTTATTCATTGCTGGAATATTTTTTTATTTGGAAATTTTAGTGCTAAAATTTCAGATAAAATCCAATTAATCAATAATCTTCTCGAGAAGGTTAATTCTATGATTATTGGAGGTAAGATATTATTATTATTATTATTATTATCTTATTATATATCTTTAATAGTTTTGCTAACATTTCATTTATTTTGTAGGTGGTATGGTTTTTACCTTCAAAAAAGTGATCAATAATATGGAGGTATCTACATTGCATTACTTTATATTCTATTTATTGGAAATTTTAATAAATTTTTCCTTATCACGCTCTAAACAATTTTATAGATCGGCAACTCGCTCTATGATGAAGAAGGATCTAAAATCGTAAAACAATTAGTTGAAAAGGCAAAGTCCCTGAATGTTGAATTGATATTTCCTGTGGATTATATTATTGCAGATAAATTTGATGCAAATGCTAATGTATATATGTTATATTTAAATCTAAATGCAAGTATTTTTTGAAACTGACTTAATTGATCTTTAAACAGACCGGTATTGCTACAGACGAAACTGGCATTCCAGCAGGATGGCTAGGTCTAGATTCTGGTGAAAAAACCAATGAACTTTTTAAGGCAGCTATTTATAAAGCAAAAACTATTCTCTGGAATGGGTAGGTTAATGATCATATATTAAGTTATTAATTCGAAGTGTATACTTATAAAATTCTGGATACAGTTTTTTTATTTTTATAATTGTGATCTATTAATTTATTATATTTATTTTTGTATACTAATCACCGATTTAAATAGTCCTCCAGGAGTTTTTGAATTTGAAAAATTTTCAAATGGAACAAAAGTAGTATTAGATGCAGTCATTAAGGCTACAGAAAACGGTGCTAAGACTATTGTTGGAGGTGGTGATACTGCAACAGCCGTTGCTAAGTGGGGTGCTGAAGATAAAATTTCACATGTCAGTACCGGTGGTGGTGCTAGTTTGGAGTTGCTTGAAGGTAATTATTCATTTCAATTAGTCTATGTGAAATAATTCTTTGAATTTATATAAATTAATTTATTGATTTAATTGAAATTGTAGGTAAAGTGCTACCCGGTGTTTCTGCCCTTACTGATAAGTCTTAAGAACCGAATTCAAGTTATGTGCATAATTTCAAAGAAGATAAAATGAATGTAATGCGTACATCCATAAAAGCTTTTTTATTTATTAAAACTTGAATGATTCCAATTTTTATTTGCTTCTGTGGAATTAGAACCACTATGACAAAATGTATAAATATGACTTCAAAGTTATTTTTTCCTTTATGATATTTTAGTGAATAAAAATTGTTTAATGCATTGCCAAGCAATTTGCTCAAAGTAATTGATTCAATTATCGTATGGCAACACAATTTTTGATAGTAACAACTCCAAATCATTTTTTATAGCAAAAGTAGTTATGTTAAATATTGAACATTCCCACCTGAAGCTAACAAACTATTTACAGAATTGATATTTTACTAAAATGTGGCAACATTTTCTTTTTCGTTTAATAAATTGTATCCTTGACCACATATTTTACGCACATTCCTATACTAACTCTTGTCATAATTGTATGTGATAATTCAATTTATTATATATATATGTCTGACCCTTTCTTAGGTATCACAGAATTAACGTCCCAATCCGACTACCTTCACGCATCCATGATCGCCACTGTGACAACAAAACATTATCAGCGTAACTGCGGAATACGTATTACGACGTACGTACGAGTGTACGTACGTAAAATCAGGTAATTCCCTACACAATAGAGTATGTTGATTTACTTAAATAGCATGTTAGAATTTATTACTGAGTATTATCTAGTATATATATTACTTAGTAACATAAAATATCAACATACATAAAAGTTTTTTTCATTGAATAATTATTTTATATCGACTATTAAGATAACCCCATCAAGACCAAAAAGCTCAGGTACAGTAGTCACCAAAAGTAACGCCCGATTTATTAGGTAAAAATAAAA